CCACTGACAACGGCAGGAACCTGCCATTCAAAAATAATCTAGAAATCCTAAGAGCGACGGCCCTAATCGAAGATAAAATAAGCTGTACAGTTACGAATATTAAAGACGATCAAAGCAAACCAATCGCGGTCCACAGAGGAAACGCACAATCGAAAAGGCCGAGGAATCGGGGCCCTCGGCGTGTAGACGCCCTCAGGGAGCCCCCTGAAGGGGCCATAAAAAGTCCCAGCCTCTCAGGCGACACCAGGAGCTGCCGCTTGCTCAGCTTCCGAGCCCCCCAGCCCTGCTCTTCGGGCCCATCAGACTCGTCCCCGCTCCTGGTGGAGCCAGGGCCACTGGACAGCGCCTTGCCCCGGGCGGATCGTCACCGCGACGGAAGGAGCAGTGGGCGACACTTACGCCCAGGGGTGGTTCGGGGACCGGTGTGGAGTCCCGGCTCGCCCAGAACGTTCAGTTCGGCCAGACTCTGGTGTTGGAGGGCGCGGAGGGTCACGAAAAAGTTACTCTACTCAAAGACCGCACAGGCACCTTGTCTTTCACAAAGGCGGCATTACGGGCGACGTCCTGGGCATGAGGAACAGAGACACAGTTCCCACCCTCAAGAAATTCGGTCTGGCGGGCGAGCGAGCCAGACGGTGAGCCTGAATGCAGAGCAAACACGTTCACGACGTGTTCTCACTCGGTCCCACAGGACTTGGAGATGAACGTGGAGCTTTAGCTACTTCATCTGTTAGATGGACCCGAGCATACAGGTTAGATGTTAGATTTTTCTGCGACTGAGATTTTCCTAACTAAAGGCTGTGATTTAGAACAGTCTCTCGGGGCAAAAACAGGCTTTACAAACCGAGTCTTCAGGGAGGCCCTTCCCGCTATGCCACAGCCAGTGGCCGGGAATACGGCGCGGCGTGCCCGCTGGGGTTTGTGTTTGGACTAAGTGTCGACTGCTCGACGTCTCCGTTCCCTCCCCTGCGAGAACAGGTGAGGCCTCAGTAATTGCCTTGCGGGGTTCAGCGGGGACGGAGCGAGATGCGTGGAATGAGATACGCAGCCCGGCGCAGGGCAATGGGAGGCTCTCGCCGTCTCCTGCTTTTTGTACTAAAGTGAATACAAATTCTTACTGGGAAATGAGAACTCGACTCGTCTGCTTTCAACCAAGCTTCTGCAGATGCGGGACTTTTCCGAGGGTCTCGGGGAAAACTGGGGGAGGGTCCTTGGGCATGTCCCTGGGTGACAAGGGTGCCTCGCAGGGGCGTCAGCCATGCAGCTCCCAGCCCTGGGCCGGGACACCGTGCGGAAGGAAAGCGCTCCTCCTCCCACTGGCATCGCGACTTTCCGGAACCCCCGCGCCGGAAGACAGCGGGGCCGCGCCTCATTAAGAGACTCAAGGCCCGATGGGCGCTGGCAGTGCTGTGGGCAAGGGGGTGGGAACCGGGCCAGGGGACTTACCTGGCAGGGAGGGCAGCCTCGGGTCGCCGCAGGTAGGTTCTGGGCAGGTGCGAGAGCTCCTGGGCCATTACACGCTGGGTATAGTCATCCTGCCACGAGAAGCCTGCGGAAAAGTGGCAAAACCCGCGTCATCAACTTGGAGGTTGAGCTAGAGCTCCCGTCAGAGTCTCGAGTCCCCGCAGCCACGGCCGCGGCTGAGTGCTGCCCCCCAGTCCTGCCAGGAGCAGGCTCCCCGTCCCAGTGTCCCAGACCAGGAACGCGGCCGGCACTGCGCTCCGCGGAATCCCAGGCCCGGTGGCCGCGAGCCCTGGCCGCACGGCAGGTGACCTCACACGCGTGTCAGCGAGAAGGGAGGTCTTGTCCCACACGGACGGCTCCGGCTGGGGCAAAGGCGCCCCTCACCCCGTGTGCATGTGGAACGCCGGGGGCGTCGTCGCTGTGAGGCAGTTATCTCGAGGCCTGATGCGCTGTATCTGGGAGCCGATTACATTATATTTATACTCAAATGTTATGACAAAGAGCCTTATTTATAACAAGGGCGAAGTAGTTATGAAGGCGAAATCCATGTGATTATGCATTAATTACATGCACTGCAGATCACATGATAATTATGCTCGGAATTACCAAATAACTCCCAAGAATAATTATTATGCAATTTGTACATTTTAGATCTTATGGTAACACTTCAGCACTTAGAACTACCCCATGCAATTATCCATAATTATCTAATCACTAAATATCATGTAATTACAGAGATATATTTTTATGCCCTGTACAAAAACACATTACCAAAATCTTCAATCAGGACAGCTCTGTGCTTGTTTGCGTGTGTGCGTGCGTGTGGTGGCAGGAGGTCCAGAACTTGCTGAGAACCACATATTCTGGGTGAAATGAGAAAAATTGCTCGGTAGAAATAAGCTGCCTTCGTGAACACACTCGAATATTTGTTTCAAATGCAAATCCAACACTTTTTAAAATTTATAAATGGCAAGATTCGAAGAGCGGACACCGTGCTAAACCGCAGCGGGCCGGATGGCATCGCCCAAAGCGGAAGCTGCCGGGGAAACCGACCCGCCCGGCTGGCCTCCTGTGGCGCATGCTCTAAGCAGCTCCGCCTGGAAGGTAACGTTAGAGCAGCGTCCCCACCTTCTGTGGCACAGTGACCGGTGCGCCTGTGAGACTCTAACGCCTGAGGATCTGAGGCAGAGCTGAGGCGGTGATGCCGGCGCTGGGGAGCGGCTGCAGATACAGGTGCAGCTTCGCTCGCTGGCCCGCCGCTCACCTCCTGCTGTGCAGCCTGGTTCCTACAGGCCACGGAATAGTGCCCATCCACAGCCGGGGGGCGGGGATCCTGGTTTAGAGGAGGGACCACTGCAGGGACACCCAGCCCCCCAGTCACTAACACCCTTCCTTCAGGGTTAAACGTTCTTAATAACAAGCAAGTGTGATCCATTTGTCAAAAGCAACTAAAAAACACCCCATGTGATATGTACGTTCTGTGGTTATTATTGGTCCATGCCTAGGAGTATTCTCAATTGAAAACATACTCACAAATTAGCATAATATCCAGCAACAGTGGATTTAGAAAATAAGCATCGTTTTAACCATGCCATTTCCGAATGGATGGCTTCAATATTAATATCCTTCAGGACACAGAAAAACATCGAGAACCAAAAAGAACACCCCATGAAAGAAATTCATTTTCAAAATTTAAATAACAAAACTTCAATAATATTTTTATCTAAAATGCACAGAAGTCTGAGCTATGTCCATTCTGGTGCCTATGTGGAGGGCTCAGTCTTCCCAGAACAAGAGTTGGCCAACTGATAAAGGTGACCTGTGCAGGCAGTATGAGGGGGGCATGGAACCCCAGACCGTTTTCCTGGGAGCAGACGGGAATGGGGCCTTTGGATATAAAAATATGAAATGCACAGATCCGGGGGTTAGACATCCCCCATGCACTCTCTCCAAGGCGTATTGAAGGAGCTAAAACCCTAGCAAGATGGAATCTGCTTCCAGAGATTTGGAGAACACAAATTCCTATTCCTCTCACTAGGTACAACTAAAAACCCTGAAACTATACAGGCAGAAGGCTGTGAAGGGCGGAGAGAACACGGCGGACCAGCGGAGCCCCTGGACCACGGAGCGACATGTGCTGGGCTCTCTGGGTCTCCCTTGGGCTCTCGTGTCTCGGGCTCGGAGCTGCATCAGCCAGCGACCTGGGAACACCAGCGGGCGCAGAGGAAGCCTGGACCAGAAGTGCCTCTCTGGTCCAGAGGGCCAGAGGGCCAGGGAAGATGCCAAGATCCAGAAAGATCTCAAACTGAATGAAAAAAGAAAATCGGTAGACACAGACACTGAGTTGATGGCGACGTTAGCACTGCCTGGCAAACAGCCATGACCAAAACCCTTCGGTGAGCGACTGTGAATATACCTGAAACAAATGAGAGAAGCAGGAAGCCTCAGCAAAGACCTAGGAAGCGTTAGGAAATAAACAAACAAAAAAAGAACCAAATGCAAATCTTCTAACTGAAAAAGTGACCAGCTGAGTGGATGCCTCAGCAGGAGGGTGGTGGAGACGGAGGGAGGAACCAGTGCCCTGGAGAAGAGAGCAATAGAAACCGCCAGTTCCAACAACAGAAAGAAAATAGTCTGGAAAAAAAAAAAAAAGACTGTGGGGTTATAACGAGAGACCTAACATTCACGTCACCGGAGTCCCAGAAGAAGAGGAGAAAGCAGGCAGGGTGGAAACGGCACTCAACAAACAACCACCAACAACAACGGCGGGAAACTTCTCAATTTTGGCAAGATATATAAACCTAAAGATTCCAGAAGCTGAGCACCTCAAACAGGATAAACCCAAATCCCATCCAAGACACATGATAATTAAACTCTGAGAACTAAACTCAAGGAAAAACTCTTGATAGCAGCCGGAGAAAAACGGTGCTTTACCTGTGAAGGAAACGCAGTTCAAAAGACAGGATTTCCCACCAGAAAGCGCGGTGGCCACCGGAGCCACTGAAGGCACAGAGCTGTCAGCCCCGAGCGCCAAGAGCGTGCCAGCCCAGGCAGGCAGCAAGAGTGCCCTTGAGGGACAACGGGGAGATCACGACGTTTTCGAATGAAAGAAAAATGGCAGCGTTTTTATCAGCAGACCGACCCTAAAGAATTACGAACCGAACTTCTCTAAATAGAAAGGAAATGATCCAAGAAGCAGCCTTGGGACATCGGGAAGGAAAAACGATCATGGACGGTGAAGGTGTGGGGAAGTGTGATAAGCTTCTCTTCCCTTGAGTTTTCTACAACACGTTGATGGTTAAAGCAAATGTGATAGCACTGTCTGATATGCTTCCGAAGGTATGTAGAGGAAACATTTAATAATTATAAT